AACTCAGTTCCATAGGGACATGATAATCCACAAATAAATAAAAATATATATGTAACATACAGGTTCATTGTACACACACACACACACACACACACACACACATATATATATATATATATATATATATATATATATATATGTGTGTGTGTGTGTGTGTGTGTGCTGTCAAGATTGCGTTCAAACATGGAACAGACTGTAGCCGTTCGATATCTATTTTTTTATTTATCTTATATCCACTTTTATATTTAATTTTATATCTTTGATATGGATCAATTTTTATCCATAAATATAGCATACTTATATATATATATATATATATATATATATATATATATATATATATATATTATTCTCTGTACTGCATATCACAACATTTTATAGGATTCAAATGTCGTCAAGGGAAAATAATTTAATAGAACTGTTTCAGAGATAAGAGAAGCTCCATAAAATGTCCCTTAATCAAGTCATTGCAAAACTCACTCAGCACCCACACAAAATTATCATATACGGTGGCGCATGCGTCCACTGCAGGTGACAAGTTGAATCCGCATGCTTATTCAGACAAGTATTCTGAAGAGCAACAATATTTTCTCATTCCATCTCCAACATCTACGATACGACATAAACAACATCTTGTCCAGAATTCCATGAAAAATCTGTGTTTATACATTTGTCAGTGTAGCTTTTATCACGGGGTTTCTGACTTGGTTAATATTGATGTCTTGAATATTGACATCATGTTTACCTTACATATGTTATATCTATATGGGCATATAGTACATCTGACAATGACTCGGAAGACCTGCCGCGGAAATGAATGAGATTTGACGAAAGACAAAGGTGATATCGTTATCAATTGCATTTTATTATTTCGGTTTCAAGTTTGGTCAAATTAAATGGACAGTACACTAACGGTAGAATTATATTTTCACAATAATTTGAATTATGTAATTGTACTTCACACACAATGAACACACACACACACACACACATACATATATATATATATATATATATATATATATATATCAGAGAAGATGTAATTCAGCAGCACAGACACTAGAAACACCCTCGCAACGCCATGGTTTACGATTATGGCACAAAAATCGTTCTGCCAATTCGACAAGAACTCGCCTTTATATACATTCTTGCCGAGCCAGGGAATTTGCATATTGGACACGTTGCCAGCCTCGATCTAACTCAATGACGCATGCGCCTCGTCATTCCAGTGCCGGTGCTTAGAGAGTCTGCATCGCTACCAATTTGTTCGTAAATATACGCTACGCAGGTCCTCTTGGACCTACGAGATAATTCTCCACACACACACACACACACACACACACACACACACACACACACACACATATATATATATATATATATATATATATATATTAATAAAAATACATAATAACCAACACTGACAGTACGATTCGGAGTAGCTAAAGATTGCATTCCAAGTGAAGTTTTTTTTACATCAAATGCTTTATGTATGTATTTGCATGTCAACATTACACGAAGATTTATTCATATTTATTCATTTAATACATATATGTGTGTGTCTCTGTGTAAGCTGTGAGGTCATTCGAAAAACCGTTATTAACTAGTGTTTGTTTCACTAGAGAAAGTCACTAAGTCTCAATGAAGTTACTGAGTGTGAGAGAATATAAAAAAAAGCTTTAAACAGGAGTTAAGAAGTCAAAAGATATCGATAGCTGTTGGATTTCAATCTTTGAAAACTGGAAAGCAAGAAGTCGGAACATATTTCCACAAGAGTTAGCGAAAGAGGAAACTCTTAGCATATTAAATGATATCAAAGTGATAATCACTGTTTTCAATTCCACTGTTCATTTTTGTTAATGAGAACAGATATTCTACAGTTCATTATTATATTTATATCTTCCCTGGAAATGCTAATGTATTCCTTGGCAAATTCCAAATCTTAGGTAAAATGATCCTTAGAAATAGAGGAATAAAATCCATGATATAAAATTGGATAAACGAGAACCGTCTTTGTTGTCGCTTTCAACCAATTAATGACATTGGCATTACTAGTCCATTGCAAAAGTCCAAGGCTTCGTTTAATTTGTTTGTTGACACTATCCAGGATAACTATGCTTATTTTCTGTTTTGAGGTCTGGTAAGGTTGGTAATTCTCGCCGGTAGTTTGATTTATAATCTTTAATCAGGACATGTGGTACCTTGGTACAGAGCTTACTAAAGTTATTGCTAACTTTAAATTTGTCAGTGGTGTTTTTACAGGCAACGTTAAATCTATCAACTAAATTAATATTGTTAATATTCAACTTTTTATAATTTTTGGTTAAATCATTTTTAATTAAAGCATTATAATCTTTAAGATTAAATCTATAAAAATTAGCGGTTTTGTCAGATTTAAGAAAGATTATGTTAGATTTATTAATGACTTTAACAATAGAATCTAAATGCCTCTGAAATGATTTCTATATTTATGAAAAGAGATATCCTAAATAATGCTTAGTAGATTGTTTTCAAAGCTGCGCAAGCGCTCAATGGGGGGGTGCATTTTTCAAACTCTTGAAACAATAAGGATCTGATATATTTGAAACAACCCGATCATGAAGGAAGAAGAGAATTAAACCAAAGAAGTAAATTGACTTATTAAACAAAAAAGTGATTTGACTGTATGCTGTAGGCAGAGCTTGCCTTTTACTTTAAAATATGTTTAATCTTTGAATTTGATAATACTTATTCTTATAGTAATAATCAGTATAGGAACTATTGTGAACATTATACGGCTTGTAAATTCCATTTGTATGATTCATTTTGATTTAATATTGCTTTTTGTTAATGGTTGGTTAGCATTATTAACATATAAACATGCACAGGTGTTCAGTTGGTATTATTAAAATCTTATATTGATTAGTTTGTACTATTAACATCCTATATGGATGCTCTTTATTTAACAGATGCATATTAATTTGCCAAACTAGCTCTATACTTTTTATGCCGGCTTTTTGGGGTACTTTTTCGAACGGTTAAGTTGTTTGCCAGTTTCTTAAAGGAGTATTTTATTTATCAACTACAACATTTCATGTAAGAAGTAGAAAGAGCAAATAATTGGCTAACATTATGTCAAATTACTTCCCCATCTCCTTCGTTTTTGTTTATTTGGAATTTTTAGCATTGTCTATAATTCTTACGAAATAATGGAATAATCTCTATCTGGCCCATAAGGAAATTGTCTATATTTAATATGCAGGCAACTTAGCCTCATGGCCTATATTCAATTTTTCCGGTGAATTTTAATTTAGCATAAGTCACATTCAACAGTTTAATCACGGCAAAACCCACAAGTTTATTATTAAAGTATTCTGCTTTTTTTAATTAAATTAATCTTTCACTCGGTAGTAGTTTAACATAACCTGAAGAGACACATTTATAGTGTTGACGCATAACTGCAATCGTGTAGCGATTTTTAACGTTTCAATATCCTACAATAAATAATATTTAGCTCTGCTATGCAATGAGCCCTCTTTTAAATTAAATGTTACGAACATTGGAATCATACCCCATTTGTTCTGTTTTTAACTGGGTATATATATATATATATATATATATATATATATATATATATTTACTACATGGATTTCAACTTCAAATACGAATTTCCACTATAATGAATTTTGTAGTAATAGAATTATCGGATTAAAATAAATCCATGAATTGTTTAGTGATTGCTTTGTTGACTTTTCGGATACAAATCTGAACATGGGTCTTATCTGACTGAGAAAATGTCTTTCATCAAATGGAAAATAGAGGCATTTCAACTCTCTGTAGCCGAGGGGTAAAGCACACCTGAATAAACGCTAGTTTCTCTAAAAAGTTAGACGCGGATTCAATCCCACCCAGAGTTTGTATTTTCTTTAAGGTTTCTCGGATGCACAGGACAATTGATGTAAAACAAACCATTATAAATGGACGTCTATATTCTATACGCGTATCTACTATAAGACTTTTTAGCAATGGAAACAACGGATTAACAAATAATCCATAAATTCTTTTTCTTTAAAAAACTTATGAATATTTGTATATATGACATGGAAGTATTAGTAGAGGCGTGTTGAAAATTGTATCCGTCACCTCAGCTAAGAAACATTTTCCAAAATACCACTAGATACTACCTAATATCCACTGACCAGAGCGTTATTGGCCACGCTCATATTTCTGTTGGAAAATCATTTAACGATATAAAATAAAGTTTATTTTGTCCTGTTTAGGGTAAGTACAAATTTGACAGATTATTTTTCGCCGCTTATGGGAAGGATTACCGGATTCTTGATGTCTGTCGTATGCACCTTTTCTCGTTATCTCCTACCAAACAAGCCAACAAAGCTACTAAGTCATCATGGAGTTACCAAGAGTAAAGAAAATTCAGAAAAAATTGCCGACGCGAAAGGTTAAAAAAAATAACTGTTTTCAAGGAGACAGAAGATAACAGTTTACGTTGAATATACCTTTTGTTGATTGTAATTGACAGGAACGCGAAAAGCTCCAAGAGAGTTACATAAGCGAGAATTGCGAGACAAAAAACTAGGTGATAGAACTTACGGTTGCATATACTAATTTCAATATTTAACTAATAAGACCTCAATGACAATCTAGTACTATGCTTAAATTCGTGACGTCTACGTATAGAGGAAAACGCAAAACAGTGGCCATGAAAATATTTTTAAAAAAAATCCTTGTCGTAAATAAATTGATTTGTTTTCTATTGCTTATCAGCTCTTTGGAGGTTGTATAAAAGCAAGAAATATTTTAAGAAAGGTTTTGGACATATTAATGGTTCACTGATATAGGTGTTACTAATTAACTTATTGCTCGGGTAGAGGCTGTGAATTCATACATTTACAAAGGTTAATTGCCCCTAAGTGAATGTAATGAGTCCATCTGGAAGTGGAACTCGACCGTCAGGTTAACAATTCCGAGTCGTTATCCATTATACCACACGCATATCCAAGCTTACAACACCTGTCTTTCTCAAGCGGTCACTCATCTAGGTACTGACCAGGCCCTACTTTGCTTAACTTTGGTGATCGTACAGGTACTCTTGTTTCAACGTGACTTGGCCGTAAGCCTCATAAATAGAACACTGTTGGAACGCATAATTCGAATGAAAATTTATAGAATACTAATAGTGAAGAATAGTTGGCACTTTGCAATTCTTTCGATATGTGCTGACATAATGGAAACCTAGAAAATATAGCAAAGAAAAGCAGGAAATAATCAACTATAACAGTTAATTGTCAGTAAAAAAAAAAAAAAAGGCAGGCCAAACTGCGCGTTAAATATTCAGTCATTTATGTGCCATGCGCGATACTCACTTAGGCAATCATATATCTTTCGATACATAACTGAAAAGGGAGATATTTTCCCGCAGTGGGTGCCATTTCTTTCTGCGCTTGCCATCCAAATCTATAGAACTGCCCTGCTATTTACACATAGCTGGTGGGGAGAAGAAGAGGATCCATACCTTCCCAAATGTAAGTGAATGTAACGGATCCAGCTGGAATTCGAACCCGGCTCTCCGATTTCTCAATCCGATATTCATTACTCCACCAATTTCTTAATTGGGAAAATCAAATTCAAGCAGGTACAGAAATTCAACTAATTAGTGTAGAAACCTGTAAATGTAAGAAAAGAATAATAATAATGAAAATAAACAGAATAATAATAATAATGAAATATATTTTCAGAAACTAAAACAAGTATTAAGAGATAAGAAAAATGTATTATAAATTAAGTGTTTGGATTTATATGTAATAGCAATTTCGTCTGTGACAGAACAAGAAAACAATCGAAGCGACAGAGATCTAATCCTGTTGAGGGTGTTCCTAAAATCCTGGACACAATATATAAACAAGGGAGAAGTTTTAAAGAAAACCAATATTTTAAGGAGTCAAAATATTTCTAGAGCAGCAAAAGACAGGACGCTGCATGAACAATGATCCATCATGGTCGGAATACGATAGAATAAGTAGTTTTAACTCGACTAGGCATAGCGAGCCTATTGCACAGGTGTCAGCAGTGATACACTGCGCGTTTTTATCTTGTAGGTTTTGAATAATTCTCCCAGCGATATTGTGTCATAAAAAGGTCGTTAAATTTGAGAGTGAATATTGTGTTTAACATATGATTCGAAGAAAAAATAACTTCGGTCTCTAGGTTGTCCACAACGCTACATTACGCATTATTCAGAGAAGTAAATACTTCAGGTATGAAAAACGAGGCAAAGGTGGTTTAGCAACCAAATAATATCTTCCATAAGAGGTAGAATTTCTTGCTTGACGTTTGTGATTAGAAGACGAAAAGCCTGGGTAGTAAACGTTAAAACTGACCTGGTCAGACAGTAAAGGGCCAATAAAAAATAACGGTTTAAAAAAAAAAAAAATAGGAGCGCCAGTTGTCTTTTGAGACTAGAGGCTGTATGTCATTAAAAACAAAACTGACCTTTCGAAGAGAAAGATTGCCGTTTCGCCTGAGAAAGATAAATAAACAGAAAAAAAATCTCATTTACTATTTGAACAACATACTAAGAATAAGAAAAATAGAAAAAACAGAAAGTTATGGCATCAACAACAGTTAAGAGTGAAACCAAAACGAAGAAACTTTATCTGTTATTATTGCCGTTTGTAACAGACGCACTTTAATTTGGTGTTTTACGAATTATCTCAAGGAAGAATGTGGCACAAGGCCGAATTTACGGTGGGTTTCCCGAGCCCGTAGGCTCAGCCAAAAATTCCCTGTAGATCCCACATAAACGGGATCGGGTCTGTCTACCTCCCCGGACGAGACTCTGCCCTTCGGCACAGCCTCGTCCGAGTTCCTCTGTCCGAAGGCAGAGAGTTCGACTGTCATCCGACATCAACTCTATTTAGTAACTGCCCCACGCTGTCACATGTGGCACAAGGCCGAATTTACGGTGGGTTTCCCGAGCCCGTAAACTCGGCCAAAAATTCCCTGTAGATCCCACATAAACGGGATCGGGTCTGTCTACCTCCCCGGACGAGACTCTGCCCTTCGGCACAGCCTCGTCCGAGTTCCTCTGTCCGAAGGCAGAGAGTTCGACTGTCATCCGACATCAACTCTATTTAGTAACTGCCCCACGCTGTCACATGTGGCACAAGGCCGAATTTACGGTGGGTTTCCCGAGCCCGTAGGCTCGGCCCAAAATTCCCTGTAGATCCCACATAAACGGGATCGGGTCTGTCTACCTCCCCGGACGAGACTCTGCCCTTCGGCACAGCCTCGTCCGAGTTCCTCTGTTCGAAGGCAGAGAGTTCGACTGTCATCCGACATCAACTCTATTTAGTAACTGCCCCACGCTGTCACATGTGGCACAAGGCCGAATTTACGGTGGGTTTCCCAGCCCGTAAACTCGGCCAAAAATTCCCCTGTAGATCCCACATAAACGGGATCGGGTCTGTCTACCTCCCGGACGAGACTCTGCCCTTCGGCACAGCCTCGTCCGAGTTCCTCTGTCCGAAGGCAGAGAGTTCGACTGTCATCCGACATCAACTCTATTTAGTTACTGCCCCACGCTGTCACATGTGGCACAAGGCCGAATTTACGGTGGGTTTCCCGAGCCCGTAGGCTCGGCCAAAAACTCCCCGTAGATCCCGCATAAAGAGAGATCGTGTCTGTCTACCTCCCCGGACGAAACCCATGCCCGTCGGCATAGCCTCGTCCGGGCTCCTCTCTGCCCGAAGGCGGAGAGTTCGTCTGTCGTCCGACATCGACTAGTATTTAGTCACCCCATCACGAGGGTATCATGTGGCACAAGGTCGGTTTAACGTGGGATCTCCGATCCCGTGGGCTCGGCCAAAAATATACCCTTTGAACCCGTATAAACGGGTTCAGGGTCGGTTTACCTCCCCGAACGAGACTCTGCCCTTTGGCATAGCCTCGTTCGGATTCCTCCCCGCCCGAAGGCAGAGAGTTCAATCGTTCAGCCGGTCGTCCGACATCGATTGACTCTCGTTTCTCTTACTACTACTACTACTATTAGCTATAGAATAGGGGTGTTTCACCATAACAGTGAGGATCCTTAACCGAACATAGAATGAAAGGCTGACCGTTTAATTGGGCATGGTAAATCATAATACTTGGGGACGATATTTATATCTACCTCCTCGGCCATTATATTTTGATTTGGGATGAGTGTGGGATGGGAACACCGATTTATGAGTTTTTCTGAACGAATTGAGAAGCTTCATAATAGAGGAAGCGTTTTGATAGTTAAACACTCCAACTTCTTTATGTTGCCGTGTCATCTCAGAACCTAAGCGATCATGGCTCTCCACAACTTCTTCTCCGTTGTTGCCATCCATTTAGTCCACCTCAATATGTATGCGGTGCGTTGTTTTCCTTTGTCCTTCTTGATTTCAGTCTGTCTCTTAAGTATCAAATTTCCATCTATACTTATTATATGCCTCACAAACCTCGACTATTTCTTGTTTCCCCACCAAAAAAAAAAAATTGTTGCTCACATGTTCAGTCCCTGAGATTTTACATTCTTTGCTTTCCCCTTCAGCTACATTCAGAAAGAAGGACTCTGATCGGGAGGTTTTGAGGAGCGTAGAACCACTTCTTAATTGTTGTTGTTGCTCCCTGGTCCACCCTGATCCGCGGTGGTAGCACTTGTCAGTGGCCCAGCTAAGGGTAAATAGTTAACTCCCAAACTTTGGTCAAAACACTATGAGAGTATCTATTTTATAGTAAAAAAATAAATTTGCATATGAAGACATCTCTCTCCTTTATTATTTTGTCAATGTGAATTTGAAATACTTTATTTCGGCAAAAGAAAAATGGAATACACTTTCAAAAACAACTTGACCAAATGAATTATTTTTTTCATTTTTTTTAAAGTGTTCGATACCGAATATTTTAGGTTCTTAAGTGATACGCTTTGTGCCCCTTAGAGGATTTTTTTGTGTGGTGGGGAATCCTTATTGGTGTGTTTGGAGTAGGCGAGTTACAGCCCCTTCAGTTGAATCACTGGAAACTGGTTGTGGTACAGTATCTCCTGATTTTGGTATATTATTTTCAACCTAATCCGGTATCCGGCTCTCTGGGACTATTGTAATTGCTCCAGATTCGGAGATTGTTGCCCCTAACCCAGCAAGAGCGAGATTGCGGAGAGAAACTGTACTTTCTTTTCCATTTAGTGACTTAACAAAAGCGGAATTGGGATTCGCCTGCATCAGCTCAGCTTCTCGTACAGTAGGTTCGTACTTTTCGTTTCGTACGTCATTTCTCATGAGCACTTTCCCAGGAATCGTCAACCACGAAGGAACAGATCTTTGAGAGGTAGATTTTCTCGGATAAGAAAACACCAGTTCCCGAGGAGTACAATTCGTGGCTGTACACAGCAAGGAAAAAATCGCGTGGTGAACGCCAGATAATACGGGTTCCCATTGATGCACAGGTGATCCTCTCGATTTAAAGTCTCAGCAGATTGTCCACCTCCTGTTCAGTTTCTCCACTCGACAGTTTCCCCGTGAGTTGCAAGCAGTAGATCTACTAGTAGCTATTACTTTCTCTTACAAAAATATCTTTAACTCTTATGACATAAAACTAGGTCCTCTGGCAGACTGTATATAAATATGGAACTTAATTCAGTTAAGCAAATCAATATAGTTGTAGTGATCATATCCCTACAGGCGAAAGCGAAAAGGAAACGACTATATTCATCAATGATATTCAATAAATACTTGTTTCCACCTCGACTTGAAGGAATTGGTCCCTTGACATCGATATACAATTTTTCGAAGTGTTGAGTGGCTTAATTAATTTGCCGCCTCCACTCACAAATCTTGCCGTTTCTACAGAACACACATTAACTTTTTCCGCCATTCTCTTTACTTCCTCTGTTGCGTAAGCCAAATTTCCTGATAAAGTGAATCATTCTTGATTTTCTGGATGACACAGATTATGCAATTATTTAAGGTCAATATTTACGACATAATCCCAACATACTCTAATTAACACATGTGTGTATGCGTTTTGATGCTAGGTCGATATCTGATACCATATTTATGATTGAAAAGTTAAATTCGCCAGCGATTAAATTTTG